ATGATGCCAGACCTTAAATTTCTGCATTTTCTCCTGGTTTATAGGTGAAATTGGTTTGGGTTCGTAGGTGATTTGGACCGATCCAGTAAAATAAATAAAATATATTAAAGTAGATGAAAAAAAAGTAAGTACTTTTTACAAATTGTGAGTGGCTTTTATCAAGAGAACATCACTGAAATATACAATTCAGGTACTCAGATAAACACAAAAATTGTTTTTATCAAATATAAATAGTTTCTTCTCTGTTATAACAATCCATATAACATTTCTGTTTTTCACAGCATTATCTGCACACATACATTGAGTCTAGTTATTAAATGACATGGAATATTTTGCAAAAACTGCATAGAAAAAGAAATACACTATTTCATAATGAAGTTCTATGTTTATACAAGATAACAGTTTTCAGAAGCTTTACTTTTCAGTACTCTGATTAAGTGGAAAGTACCTACCGGAACACGGCAAAACTGAAAGTAGAATGGTAAAGGAAGGAAATACTTGTGTGAAAAAGAATTGTCTTTTATCATACCAAACCGTATGTCAGAAAAAGTTCTTGGTACAGAAGCCCTTTTTGCATATTTGAGCATTTGAGATCAGAAAAATAGCCAAAATATCCTGCAAAGATATGCAGCATGAGAAGCTTAGGACTATTATCTTCTGTCCTGGTCTTGCTGTCCATCATACATAAAACTTGGCTCCATCCACAAAAAACTCCATACTACATCCATCCATACTGCATAAAACTTGGCTCTGGGAGTTCTTTGAGTCCGCTTTCACTTCTTTAGTCTTAAATATGATTGCATTTTTGTGGAGCTGAAATACACGTGAGAAGCCTTGAGGCTTTGTGTGAAGGTACCAGGCTTCCTGACACACTCTTTGGGAAATGGGAGGGAAACAAACCTGACACAGCCTCGTTCATGCTGACTTTTGGTAGTGTTCGCATTTTCTCTCTCTCTTTCTTTTTGTCTGCATTCAAGCCCAAACCAAATCCTTCTTTCTCTGCACATTGAAACCCGTCTTAACATTTTCTTATTTCTAATGTAAAAACATTCATTCAGACAAGCAATAACTACAGTTATTTCTACCAGTCTCCCAAATATCCTCCTGTGATTTTTCAACCCACAGAGAATGCTGATCCTCCCTGGTATTTTTTTGGCTTTAAACTCTGTATTTGTCCATTTCTATCCTTACATTCCCAAGTAAAATTCAAACCTAATATATAATTATTTCTTACTGTTTTGTACTTATTTTTCTCCTTTATTTTCTTTTGGGTTTTCCCCACCCTCTCTAGTCACCCACCCAAGAGACTAGAAATATCTGTTTATGCTATAAATTATCTTAATTTTTTTTATGTATCAACTGATGTATACAACAGTACAATGCAGGCAGCAGTATATAGCACTGATTTGCAAGTAGATTCTGAATGACATAGCAAGGCTGAGAGACAAAAATGATAGTATTTGAGAAAGACATCAAACTGAAGAAGGCTCTATCAGCTCCTGCTTTTAACTGAATTCTGAACTCAGACGGATCTGGATCCATGAGTTTGCTCTGAATGAAAGATGTGGCTAGGTGATTCTACTATCATGATAAAGTTGGGAAAGAAAAAATAAAACAGCATTCCATCCTTCAAGCACACAGAGTTCTCTAATTCATTTTTGCCACTCTCTAGAAAATCTAAAATAAATTAATGCAAAAACAATAAGGGAAATAACAAAAACTGGACAATGAAAATATTCTAAATATCCCGAAAAGATTTTCAAATTATTGTAACAAATAAAAAAGGTGAATTGAAAAAAATAAGGAAGTAAGAAGGCAATCCCTCCTGACATCATTAATTAACAATTTGTTCAGAAGCAGATAAATACCAGCTGACTCAGCTCAGCTAGTGTGGCCTCAGATCTGACTATGCATGGTAAGCAGAACAACCAAGATTTCAACTGACCATAAACTTTTAGGACTCTATTGCACAAAGTTAGCATGGCTTATGTGAGGATTACTCACTTTGATATACCAAAATGAGCTGGAGCTGATCTCACCAAACACAAATTACATCAGCCACACTTACCAAGGCCCCTTCAGAATGAAGAGGGGAGGACACTGCCAACTCCTGATTCTCAAGCAGATATTCAAGAATATATTCTTCTATTATATACTATCTAAGAATATATTCTTAAGAATATATTATTCCTATTTAAGATATGAAGAATCTTCCCATATCTCCATAAAGCAAAACTAAGAAACAGGTGTTTAGGACACATTCCTACACTTTGCCAAAGTCCTGTTTTAGGAATTTATGTGCTTACTCTGATGCATGATTTTGTAGTCGGTGATAACAACTTGCAGAAAGATGCCAAAAATGTTTCACTAGATCATCTGCTAGTGAGTCAGTAACCCACTGATATCTGGTTAAGAAGTCACTGAGACTGACTCTTAGGTAGGGAAATAATCCAAGAGATATTTACAAGTTTAGTATCACACTGCAAAGGATAAAGAAAAAGTATTCAGCAAAAGCAAGGAGCCAATTCCTGGTTAAATTAAACTTCCAGTATGTGACAGAGAAACTAAGAAAAAAGTACAGCTAGAATCATCAGAAGTTTGCTGCTGCAAATGATTTATTTACATAAGAGAGCACAGAAATGTCTCTGTATAGTCATCTGATATAGGACAAAAATTAACAAGTATTAGAAGTTAGCATTTTGATATATAAGTGCAAGTCTACATTGTGCAACTCAATACTGCATTTAATCATAAAAATAAGTATATTGAAATTAACAGAGATTAAAATTACACTTACATATACAAAATAAAGACTTAAATTTGGCTTTAGAACAAAAAAGTACATAGATAGCAACATGATGACTACATCTATAAATGACTACTATAAAGGACTACAGAATCAGCTGAAATGCTACACAGATAATCGGAAAAGAAGTTGAATGTAATCATATGTTAAATACAGAGTAAGACTAAAACAACTTAATCATTGATGTGTAAATATTACGATACGCACATGAAAAGTAAATAAAATAATTGTTACTTACCGTAGTGATCTGAAACAATGTGGACTTCTGAATTAACTAAAGCAGTCTCTTCCCAAGAGAGATTTGTCTAACTTTCCACTACTTTCAAAACTGGAGAGGAAGATATTTTAGGCCTGGCCAAATATCACTGGAAGAAAATTTGTTCACATGTTTGGCCGTGTCTTACATTCCATCCTCTTGCTTTGGCATACAGACACGGCTAATTTTAACCAGTGACACAAGCAGCTAATTCTACTGCTAAAATTGTTGTGCACCGACTCCAGAAATGAACTGTATCATTACGAGACACAACCAACACATAATGCTTATTGAAAGGGCCCATCATGTAACACCTGAGATCATAAAATCCTAACTGCTCTTTTAAAATCTGAGAATATGCAGCACCTCATAGGATTTGGATCTATATCCTGCTAGTATAGTTAGCTGCTAACAGCACACAAAGTTAAATTAGAAATAAAGAACTTCTTTATTTTCTACATCCATATGCAACGCGTAACAAAAAAAAAAAAAAAAAAAAGACTATTTGGCCTATGTAACATGTAATATCCAACAAAATTAAATGGTATTTTTTTCTGATTTTTTGTTAAATACAGTCTCTTTAAAAATGAAAAATACATATAATATACTTTAAATAATATAAATGAACTTCATACAATGATTATATTAACTATTTAATTATAAGTTTTTCCCAAAACCTGCTACTCTTGATATTTAAGAAAAAAATGCATTTAAACATCAAGAGCTTTGAAAAAATACAAAAAGAAGTTATATATAGTATATATTTAGAGATTATATTTTAGAAATTGGGAGATATATTCTTCAGTGCCATTTTAGCTTTGAGTTTTAAAATGCAGAAACTAATATTCCAGCCCTGCTCTGCTTACATTAGACTGATTATACAAATACTAATCCATGGACTTTCTGTTTGAACAGAAAGTTCAATCCACAACATTTCAGATAAAATCTGTGTTGGTAGCTGTCTACAATATATAAAGCATTAAAAGATACATTTGTAAGATTTATAGAAGATTAAAAGTCCTGTTAACATGTGCTAAGTGAAGTATTGTAGTCATTATCCGTATGTTCAGACAATTTTGCTTTGCAAAGCACAGTGCTTCCTTTATTCTAGCTAGGGACTCACGCTGTTCGTATGCTTTAGAAGACAACCCTCCTATCAGACATTCAACAGCTGCAGATCATAAATTTAGGACTGACACAAATCCATCTAAATGCAGGGTTACAAGATACTTTTTTCCTCTTATGAATTCTCTGGCCATTAATCCTTTATCAGACTCTGTTTATGTACACAAATGGAGTAGTTCATTTCCACATAAACGAACTAATTCATACGTATCTGACAAAAATGACAAATAATTTAAATAATAAAATATTTGAAAATTTCCTTAAGCAGCTTTTATATTTAATCTCTTGGATTTATTGAAGATAAACTCTGATGGAATCATTTGTGTGTTGTATTAACATCAAAGCTTTTCTTTAATTGAAATTCCTTGTAAGTATTAGAGGTAGAAATCTGTAAGTGTCACACAGTTTTGAAGGGCTTAGTATAGTCACTGTTCTTTGTCCAACAATTTCCTGCAAAATTATTTATCCGTTCTTGGAGATAAGCAGAGTATCATAAAAAAAATGGACCAGAAAACAAAACAAAACAAAAAAGCAACATTGTAATTGCATTTTAATATGTTTCCTCTTGGCATATTTGTAATTATTTGATTTCTCAGTTCATAAAAAATGATTGCCTGGCATAATGCCCAGCTAGAGAAAGGGATTAGATTAAATCGCCCAGTAGCTCTCTTTCTGGAGAAAATTGTTGCATTTTCTATGCATGACTAGATCTCTTGGTCTCAATTCCTGAGACATCTTTTGCCTGCTGTTATACCTATCTAGTTTCTACAAAGTAAAAATTATTTAAAAAAGGAAAACAAAACAAATAAATACCTCAGTTAGTATCTTCTGAAGTGCTCATGAAGTGGGACTGAAGCAAGAGTGATTGTCAGTGAGTCCTGTATCATCTGAAGGTAGCTGTCTTCCTATTTAAATGCAAAGAAGAGAAAGAAAAGGAGAATTTTTCATGAGTACCGGGAAAGAACACAATATATTCTTGAACCAGCCTCTGTTTTAATAGACACCATTTTAAAGGTCATGGTCCAGCATCCACTGAAATTAAAATTATGGAACACAGGCAAATAAATAAAATGCAGAATACTGGAGTTCTATTCTGCCTGCAAATATTCATGTTAATATAGTTTTCAGTGAAAAAGAAATTTTAAGAAAAACTCTATGTGAAAAATAATGAAAGAGCTTTATTATAACATTAAAATTCAACCTACTATTAGAATGTATCAGTGAAATGCACAGTTACTTCAGTTAGGGGGTATCATTTCTTCTGTATAAAAACAAGCTCTCTGAGTCAAGCAGTAGTTCACAAATATTTCACAAATCCTGAAGTCTTGTTCCTCACCACAAGCCTCCAACTGGATTTTGAACATCACTAACTGACTACTTAGCCTGGAAAGGTAACTAAGCAAACATTATTCTGCCAGCTTGCCTGGGTCCCCTCCTACCACTACTTGACTATCTAAAAGATTCTGCAAACCTATGCCTTAAAAACAATTTAAAAACATATGTCAAGGGTGCTTTCACTATTCTGCCATCAAATTAGCTTTTTTTTTTTTTTACTTCAAGTTAAAATTTTAGAAAAATGCTATGTACACTGACAAGATTTCAGCAACACTTGCTCTTCCAACTACAAGACAACAAAATGCTAGAGAAGACCAGTTTCATTAATTCATCTAAATAAAATGTCATAGAAGCCATTTGGACCTATCTGTATCAACTTATCTCACTTATTCACATAATTCTCAAGTCTGTGATATGTTTAAGGAATGTAACAGGGTTTTATCAAGCGAAGAGCATTCAAAGCAAAAGAAGACATTCTGATCGCTATGGAAAGCAGAGTTTACCTTAGAAACAAAATACTGCAGAAGAAGAAATTTACAGTTCATTACAATAAGAAAAAAATATTTTATTTAAAGCGCTGTGTTAAGATTTTCTCCAACTATTTTTCAAAAGGATGTATCTCTCTGCAAAGATTTTTGATCTATAGTGAGCAAACAGATCTTTAGATACTAGGGCAAACTTAGAGCAAATAGGACAATATGTTGCTAGGCCTGGAATCACGCTTTGACTCCGTTGTAGCATCTTTCTCTTTGTAGCATCTGAAGTTGGTCACTGTCAGTGAGACCGCCGCTTCAGAAAAAAGGAAGAAACTCCAAGTCTTTTGTACTCTGAGAACTGCATTGTAAGAGATATCTCTTTTCATTATTAATAATGAAGTCAAGGCTAAAAGTCCTTTACTATTGAACAAGTATGGCAATTATTGAACAACTGGCAAACAGTAAATGCAGCTAAATTTAAGTGTGTAAGGATGTATAACTGCAGATGAAGCAGAAGTTTGGCCATATGGGTTATTTCAAGAGATTTTGATAAAGGTTCAGATAGGTAAAATGCACAGTGATAGCAAGTTAATGATAAAATTGCAGACTTTTTGGAAAAGTAAAATTCACATGTAAATATATATCTATTATAAACACCAACTGGAAAAACAAAAGCAAAACAAAACCATAAAAACAACCCAGGTCCCTCGCAAATACACAGATGATTTTATTAATAATTTGGCAGAAAATACAAAGGTAATTAGTCACTATAAATCTTGACATACTCCTCTGGACTTCTGAGAACTGAATTTAAAAAAAAACACAGAGCTTTATTGATGCCTGCCTTGGGTCCCTGTTAGTCCTTTGTAAGTTTGACTAATTGTGCAAAAAATAGCGTTTTTCACATAAGAATTTCTTTTTTAAAATCTTCCTTAATTACTGCTGCTGTAAGAGGCTCTGATATAACATGAAAAGCAGAAATGTTAGAAACAAAGCTTTCTAGTGTTTCCCTCCAAAGCATTTGTTAAATGAGTGACAGGACTACAGACCATTTCTGATATGCTGAGATCTTACACCTTCCTAAAACAGATATAAGGTGAATATCTAGGAAATAATGTTAACTTCTAAATTTAAACAAAGCAAATTGAGAAAGCAAATAATTTGTTACATACTTTTTTTATCCAGCTGCCTGGCACGTCACAGAGCAGTAGATGCATGTATCTGCTTTCTAGGATTTTTTCTGTCTGTGTACCCAGAGAACTACCTGTGGGCCTGTTGTCTGATCATTTTAGCTGTATTTCAGTCTCTCCTTCAGCTGTCAGCGCCCATTTGGTTGTTGTGACACTCCTCATCTTTTTTTTTTCCTTTGGATTACACAACCTGGACTCTCCTCCCCAGTATGCTTGGCTGATCCAGAACAGGAACCTTCTTCAGTCTCTCGGCTGGTTCTCTTCTCAGATGAACTTAGGCATGAATTGAATACATATAAAACAGATTTCAGCTATTGCAGAGGGCTAGTTGCTTTTTATGTTAATTGATATTTTCTGCTGGGTTGTATTTTCACATGTCTTGATTAAGAACTACTTAGTTGCTTAAGTTATAATTTTGTATGTTCTTCCAAAGAGGCTAAGCAGCAAGGCGTCAGAGAGAAAAGCTGAATGTACTTCATGCCCACTGCTGTACTGGTGCCAAGTACAGCCTGGTGGGTGAACGAGAACAGACATAAAAGGGACAAGGAGTTTCTTTTCTAAGAGCACATAAACATGCTCAGCTTTGCAGAGCCTTCCAGAGAGGCGACTCAAGGAGGATAAAAACCAACGAGGAGATTGCAGCACGTGTGCAGACTAGAGTGTGCAGCTGGGGTGGGTTAGCTGGAGTAGCATCCTAAGAGAAGATGGTATCTAGCAACATTATGAGGCGGAAAAAAACCCTAAAACTTCCTTGTAATAGGACAAAATCATTCTGGATTTGCTTTGAGAACTGAGGTTCTCAAAGCAAATCCAGAATGATTTTGTCCTATTACAACATTATGAGAATATTGTATCAAGTATGACACCTTGAACCTTGAGTCCTTGAGTCAAGAAACTGTTGGCTCAAGCAAGGCTCAGGAAGAAATAAGAACTGTAGTCTTCTGTTCTTCTAGAAGTCTAAAACATTGTGGTCAGGAGCGTGGAATAAAGCTCTTTTTAATGGGTTTGTTCTTTTTTTTGTATTGAGAGTGTCCAATGACAGGATAAGAGGCAACAGGCACAAATGTAAACACAGGAAGCCCCATCTAAACGTAAGGGAAAAATTCTTCACTGTGAGGGTAAGAGAGCACTGGAACAGGTTGCCCAGAAATTATGAAGTCTCCATCCTTGGAGATATTCAAAAGCTGCCTGGACAGGCTCCTGGGGAATCTGCCCTAGATGACCCTGCCTAAGCAGGAAGGTTGGGGTAGAGGGCTCCAGACTTCCCTTCCATCCACCACCATTCTGTGATTCTGTGATCTTTCTTCTAGGACACGAGTTACTGCACAACTGACACCTCCATCTGCAAGAACCCCGTGACAGATAGATTAGTATTTGTGGTCACATTTTGTTTTTCAAATGGTGCTGATATCTGTTGGAGAAGTCATTTGACATCTTCCAAATGTCTTTTCCAAAACATATCAACATCATTTAAAAAATTAATAAAGAAGCATGCTTCTTATTCTCTGGTACATTCAACATATTTCCTTTCAGATCACTGACATTTTATTTAAAAAAAAAAAATCCCCTCCAAATCCACAAAACTCCTGGAGCAGGACAGTCCAGTCTTCTATCTTGAGTTACCTGAGCTGATTGATAGAAAAATGCACCTCTGGGGCAGACTAGGTTTCATAGGCTTTGAAACTCTGCCTCTGCGTTCTCATCTTGTATAAAGGTTTATACAAAGACAAACTGAAGAATGTGCTGAATTTGCCACACTTTTGCTTTCTTCCTATTTTTTCTCTCATTATTCTCATTTCCTTCCATACTTACAGATATATCAGCAGTATAATCAGACTAACAGTTATAAATACACCCATTACCTTTTATGTTATTTTCATTAAATTCTATGTTATTTTTCAGTAATACAATATATATTTAAACTGGCAGAATAAAGCATGTAAATTTAATCTGCACTGAAATAAAACCCTGTGATACACTGTCCACTTCATTAATTCAGGTGCCTATTCATTCGGTACCACCATGAATCCCTGTAGAAAGAAAATAAGCATGACAGAAGGAAAGAATCAAGGCACACAAGAAAAATGTTTCTTGTTCCAAAAGACTTCAGCGAAAGACAAGCGGTGATATGAAGATTACATTGTTCTTGCTAGCACTCTGTAAGAGGAACAATGGTCCAGGATATCTCTCCCTAACAAATTCAGTGCCCAGAAAGTTTTAATGGAATGTAACTTTATATTTAGAGCAACAGAATATTAAATATATTGAATCTGTATCCTAAATTTTATTTAGGGATAATACAGAAAAAAGTTTTAAATGCTTTCATTTTACTTACACAAATGATGGTAATGAATATTCAGGGTAAAAGAAAAAAAAACTAATGAAGATAGCTGTCAGATGAGAAAGTTGCATATGTTTATATTATCTAAACAATATTTTAATACGTAGGCAGAACTTTGAAGTGAGTTGCTTAAACTATTTCCTTACAGTGAGTTCCTCAAAGAACACTTCCCCAAAGGATTTTAATCCCCAAATAAAGAGGAAACCTGAGAGTGGTTGGGTAAGGCAGAAAATAAAGAAGTCTCATCCTGCCCATTTTTCTTTTCTCAGAAAGAACCGTTGCTTTCAGACCTGATGTCTGTCACCTCAGTGATTTTTTGAGTTGCAGAGAGGTCTGAAGAGTTTCCTCCAGGACCTGGGAAGTTTCCATTTCATCACTTGTGAAATCTGTATCTCTGTTCCCTGCCCTTTCTCCTCCTGATTCTTCCTTTAAAATTGCAGGTTTCTAGTCCTTGCTGTGTTTCTCTCAGCCTTTTATAATTGATACACTTGTATTATCTAAAACCTTCTTTCCCTGAACATCCTCCAGTGTCCCTAAGTAATGAACAACCTTTCTTTCTGCCAAAGGGTTTTATCTGATTTGCTTTCCCTTCTTAATGGAACACAGCAAGTAAGAACAAAACAAAACAAAACAAAAAAACCCTGAGATGGATGGGCAGTCTGCCACATCCACCTTACAATAGCATTTTGCACACTAGAATGAATAAATTATTGAGCAAAAGGATGAATTATTATTCTTAAGTTTGTACAGTATATCATATTATAACCAGGCATGTCTGAAATCAGAGATATTTGTACTGTTATGGAATGAAATCATTTATTACACATAGCATAAGGAAAGCCTTTATCCAATAACGATTATCTCCTGGTAACCAAGAAAAAGCTATTTTCCCAAAGTTCTTTCCTTTAAAAGTATACTATAAAAGTCAATGATTAATGATTTTGCATTTCACAAGTTGCCCTTGTAAAACTGTTCTGAAGTTGATTATTCCTACTCTAGCACTCACAACCATACTGCCCCCTATGACTTACCTCCCAAAGAATGTTAAAAAAAAAAAACTCAACGTTTGTGAATACTAAAAATGGTGGGTGAGGAAAGGCACAAAAAAAAGCATTTTTGTACTATAAAAGAAATCAACACAACACAGACATATGTTGGCTATTATCTTAGAAACTAAAAATAACAGTATTTTGTAGCATTTCTATTTTTCACTCTAGAACTGATCCTACAATCTGATGGCTCCCTCCCTTCTAAATTGCTTAGGTATCGTATAGATTCAGTCAACCCCCAGAAAATGATCACGGAAAGAACTCCTCATCTTGAGCCTTTTAGGTTAACATAAATGGTGTTGTGGACACTATGTACTAGGATATATTTATGAATGCCTGATGGATGCCCTTTCTGCAGAGTCTTCTTTCTGGATCAAGATGATTGTACTCATCAGGCAGAGAATAGAGACTCGGCCTTTAGCCAAGATCCCCAGAGGTGTTAGCCCTTCTGAAACTCTAGGAAGACAAAAAGCAAAAGAAAAGAAAAAGGAAAAAAAAAAGAAAAAAAAAAGAAAGGAAAAAGAACTTTTCTCACTACCAGCCACTCCTTGAATAAAATAATAATTTGCCACCCAATCATCTATTATGCAGGATACACAAATAGCTTTAAAGAATAAGAGTAGAATTGCACAGCTGGTTATTTCTAAGAATCCCTTTTGAAAATTTGATCTTATATAGAAGTAGACCTTGGTCTACTTTTAAGTCAAGTTACGGTACTTCAACCGTATTCAACGAAGATTTTTTGGAGCTACCACTAATTACAAAGACTGTAAAAAATGTTAATTAATACAAAAACAATCTGTTGATCCTACTAAAATTTTTAGCTTTGCCAAAATGCAAGCAGAAATATTAAGCCCAGAAGAAGAGTATTTAATTAGCAAGTTGCAATCAAGAATGAGCAAGTAAATTCTTAATGTAGCCCTTTTAATACAGAAGAAGCTACAATTAACTGTAGGTAAGCTCCAAAATCAGTGTTTAAGTGCTCTGTCTCATTTCCAGTGCAAAGGGTCTCCAAAACGGGACCCTTTTATTCACAGTATAACTACCCATAGTACCCAGTTTGACCACGACTTACAGCTCTCTCTACCATTTCTGGCATTTTCTGGAGAAGGCTCCTTCATGCCCCCTGCAATCTTGAAAGGCCATAGAAGATGAGTGGTGATGTATGACCAGTCAGTCCCAAGTCTCTCAGATTTTCAGAAAGTGCATGTACCTCAGAGGCCTTTTCTTTAATTATGGTTGTTAGACTTTACAATCAACTGATTTATTTGCCTCAAAGGATCTTTAAAATCTGACTAACAAACTTCATCCTGGGCTTAGCAGAAACATCAATACCCAATTACTTAATTTTATATTCTTAAACAAGGTCTAGTCCATGCCTAATGTACTTTTTTTCCTGATTAGTGGTGCTTGATGTGCTTGGATTTTAGGCTTTTCCTAAAGTTTGGGAACATACTGATCCACTATCAACAGTTAGCAGTTCTTACTTCTTAATATTCCTTGGCTGCT